ACCAGGACGCGTGGGACCCGCCTCCACAGCCACCGAGGACCAGGACGCGTGGGACCCGCCTCCACAGCCACCGAGGACCAGGACGCGTGGGACCCATCTGCACAGCCACCGGGGACCAGGACACGTGGGACCCACCTCCACAGCCACCGAGGACCAGGACACGTGGGACCCACCTCCACAGCCACCAGGGACCAGGACACGTGGGACCCACCTGCACAGCCACCGCCAGCCCTGTGACCTGCGCATGTTTTCACGTCCTGACTGCCGAGGGGACTCGTGGGGAGTGTCCGCCCTACTCGGTCATCAGGGAGATTCACTGGCAAACAGTGTGAAATGACCAAGGTGTCCACCAGGGCTGTGCTTCCCTGGGAGATCTGCCCCCAGTGGACAGCGCTGGACCCACGGAGTGAGGGGCCAGGCCAGTGTGCAGGGTGCCCACGGGACCAGGCATCCGGCATCTGAGTTCCTTGAGACCAAAGCTCCCGGCTCGTGAGTGAGTGGGGAAGCCCGTGGGGCAGGCGGCTGGCCTGGCCCAGCAGGTTCTCCGTGGGTGTGTGCCCCTGGGCTGACGGCTCCTGCTCTGCTGTCCTCTCTGTTGGCCCCACCCCTGGCATCTTTCTGCTGGAGAGAAAGATGGAGGGCAGCGGAGCGCGTCCCCGCCGACCAGGGAGCACAGTTTCCTAGGGCCTTCTGTGGGAGACAGGATGGCTGCCCAGCTTTCCTCACCTTGCTGCGTGTGCCCAGGGACCTCCTGGGCTGGGAGAGGAACCGTCCACAGAAGAGCTAGCACTCCTGTGCTTCTGTTGAGCTGCGGGGCAAAGGGCAAGGTAGCTGGAGGGGTCTGACCTAATCAGGTGAGGCAGAGTTTGGTCCAGCTGGTTGCTGGGCAGCAAGTCAGAGCTATGGGGAGAAAGCAAATGTCCCCCTTGGGAACTACTGAGGGGGCCGCGTGGCAAGGAAGTGCAGGATCCTCTGGGATCCCAGGGTGGCCCCTGGCCAACAGCTAGCAGGACACAGGGACCTCACTCGGGCAGGTGAGAGGGAAGAGAACTCGGCTTCAGTGGAGCACAGCGCTGGTGGACACCTCTAGCCGAGAGCCCAGCTGGGCCAGGACTTCCGACTTGCTTTACCGTGAGGTCATAAACCCGAGTGGCTTTGGTCACTCAGCATGTGGGCATCTGCTGTGTGGAATGGAAAGCCCACGCAGTCACCAAACCCCGTGCACGTCCCGTTCTTTGGTTGCAAAGCAACAGAAAGCAGCTCTTGGCACTGTCACCAGGACATGGGGGCATTAATGCTGGACAGGCAGAAGCATCCCCACACTGTGGGCTCTTCCCCACCACCATCCCAGTGGCCGGGTGGACAGAGAGCTGTGACTGGACCACCCTGGGCTGCAGGGCTGTGAGTGAGCCACCCGAACCCCACGCCTGGGCCAGAATTGATCACGATGGGGGCAGAGAGAGAAGGGTTGCTGGGCCTGGAAAACCCACCGTCCCCGCAGCCCATTTCCTGGGAAGCCAGCGCCGACCGAGACGCAGGCTGGCCTCTGATGCCGCTGAGGACCCCAGCAAGTCCTTTCACTTCCAGGTCTCGATTCTCGTCTTGCAAAACAAGGGGCTCGACTAGATAATTCCATCCCATCTACCCGGACCATCTATGGCGCGATGCTAGGCCCTTCACGCGGGTGGGGGACTGATGAGGTTTGCTTTCCTGGCTGGAAGGACAGGGTCCTCCATCGGCGCTGTGCTGCGAGGGCCTAAGAACCAGTGCCCGGGAGTGGGGTGGGTCTGGTGTCGGCTTCCCCTGGCCAGTTTCAAGCTGCCAGGGATGTAACAACCCGCTTGAGACTTTCCTGAGAACGTAACGGTCAGCTCATGGGCAGACACCGGCAGCTCCAGCATGCCACCAATTATAGCTACAAGAGTGACTCTGAGTGTGGATTCGGAGTGTGGGTGGGAAGGGTGAGGGAGGCCGTCTTGTTTAGGGCTAGGAGATCCCTTGTGGAGCCTGAAGTCACATTCCACACGCCGCCACCCATGGGCCACAAGCCAGGCAGACAGTCTGGCCATTGTCTCAGCCTTCAGTCCCAGCCGGTGGGGACCGCTTGGGCTCTGCCCCTCCTCCAGCTCTGGAAGGACAGGAGAGGGTCACGGAAGTGGCCGGGAGCCTCGTGTAGCCCGAATTCAGCACCTTAGAGAGCGGGTGCCACTGGGCTGGTCCTCTTCCCCAGCCTGCCCCTCCCTCCCTCCCTCCCTCCTGTCTGTGACAGTGGTGGGCTCCTGCCGCTGGTTCATGCAGGGACCCCAGATGAACAGCCTGGGTGCCCACTGAGCTTGCATTCACTTCTGGGCCTTCGAGTTGCCTCAGGCCTGGCCTCTGGCCCCAGGGACTGACCCTCCCCCAGGTGGGAGTGGGGGGTCCCCTTCTCCACGCTGTTAAATCCCACCGACCCTGGGTCCTGGGGAACAGTGATTAAGGCCTCGGCAGAGCTGGGGGGTCACACACTTCAGCATGCTGCCCGGGCAGAGAGTGGCACCAAGGGGACTCTGAGGCTTGGCCAGCGTGGCCTGGTAGGTGTGGACGAGGCTGCACAGTGAGGGGCGTTTGCACCAGGTCTGAAAAGGAGCTCCTCAGGAGGAGAGTAGAGAATGGCCTCTGGCGGAGGGACCCCGGGGTGGGGGGCACAGAGCGCAGTGCAAGCACCCAGGCCCAGAGGGTCCGTCCCTGCGCGGGGTGGCCCCTGGGAAAGCACTTGGTCAGGGAAACAGCATGCACTGGACCTGCGTGGCCTGCAGCCCTGGACGCCGGCTCAGGATGTTGGCCAGAGGTGGGGGGCTCAGGTGCTGGTGGTGCTGTCCCATCGGGGGGCCCAGGAGGGGTCGACTCTGTGACGCTGAGGACAGAAGCCAGCCCTCCCTCCGTGCCTGGTCTCTGATGACCTGGGAGTCAGGGAATCACGAGGTGGCTTGCTGTCCCCGCAGCCTGGACAAAGGTCTTCACAGTGGGCACTCGGGAGTGTCAGAAGCAGGGAGGGACTCTCAAGTGCCAGGCCTTGTGGGAAGGGGCAGAGCCCCCTTGGGGAAGACCCTGTTACTCCTCAGACAGCCTCTGCCTCGCTGTGGGTGAGGCTTCCCTCCCGACACCTGAGGGTCAGCCTGCTCCTCCTGGCTCCTGGCCACGGCTGAGGTGCTGTCCCCACTGCTCCTGTTCTCCAAGAAATAGGTGCCCCTCCCAGGAGCTGTAGAAAGAATTGGAAGAGGGCGTCCACCGCCCCTCTGTCCTGGGGAGTAACTCAGGGGCACTTGGGCACCAAGCTGCGTCCCCAGCCCTTCTGATCTTGAGACAGGGTCTTGCGAAATTGCTAAGGCTGGCCTGGAACTTGGGATCCTCCTGCCTCAGCCTCCCGAGTCTCTGGGATTGTAGGAGTGTGCCACGGAGCCTGTCTCTGAACTATCCTTGTAAACTGCAGAATATGGTGCTTTGACTGGCCGGCGGGAGGACTCGGCCTACAATGGAGCCCATGGCAGTGGGAACCGCTCTCAAAGCCCGCCACCAAGGCTTACGGGAGTGTGGCCTCCTCGGAGGGGAATGAGGTCGCAGTTTCTGAGAGACGCGTGAGAGGCGGGCAGGCCCACAGCGGCTTCGTCCGCATCACTTACTGGAAGGCGCTCATGGCTGCTGGCCAGCTGTCCACCTGGGTCTCACCCCGGCCCCTGCCTGGTTCCTCCACTGCAAAGTGTGGGCCTCGCTCCAGGAGCCAACCAGCCCCAGTGCTCCCAGGGCCCGGGGCAGAGTGGAGAGCCCTGCCTCTGTGTGCCCATCCTCCCCTCCCTTTCCTGTCACAGGGGCTCTGCGAGGGCCCGGGTCTCGTCCTCCTGAAGGCCAAGGCTGATCAGCTGTGACCCGTGCTGGGCCAACAGAGCTCCCCGAGGTTGACGAGGGGCACTGAGTGTGTTGATCCTCTACCCTCGAGTCACACTGCCGTCAACTCTGTCCCTTCAACCATCTCCTAGTTGCCCGTGACTCGTGGGTGGGATGGGCTGTTGGCCCACTGGGTGGCTCCGGAGGCCGCAGCCTTCCGGTGGTTCTGAAGGGACAAGCAAGGGGCAGGTGGAGATGTCCCCAGAGCCCAGCAGTTCATCTCACATTTAGCCCGACTCTGAACCCAGCTCTGCCCTTTCCCCACCTCCACGAAACAGTCGAGGGCCTGGCAGAACGCTGACCGAGCTCCCGTGCGAGCGCTGGGACTGACCTGGCCATCAAGGTGGGAACTGGGTACACCTGGGACAAGAACTAGCCAGCAACAGAGACAGAGCGAGGGGCAGACCAGAGACAAAGCAAGCTCCAGCCGGCTGCWGTAAACACGCCCCCGACCTCAAGCCTCGAGCTTCCTGCCGAGAGCCAGGCAGAGTTCTCACAGGCCCGCGGCCCTCCACTTCCTGAGGCGGAGGCACACAGAGCGGCAGGGCCTCCTTCAGAGCCCAGGCTGCTCGGCCATCGTCCCCTGCCCCGCATCTTCTGGGAGAAAGGACAAGATGAAGTGGGAGGCGCTAGCCATCGCGGCCATCCTGCAGGTGTGGTGCCCCGTTACAGGTAAGGTGCTGCCCGGCGGCAGGAGCTCAGACCGTGTGCTGGGGTCCTCGAGGGCGTGAGGGCCCGGTGTCTGCCCCCTCCTGCTCTCCCAGAATCAAGGGCAGGGAAGCCCTGCGCTCCAAACTGCAGCCCAGGGTCAAGCTGCCCAGAGCGTGGATTGCCTGGTGATCAGAAGAGACAGGAGGGGGGCGAAGGAAGGAGGCCCGAGAGCCACAGGCCGGCCAGCTGGGACAGAGGGAGTGTGGAGCAGAGGCCAGCCCGGCGTCAGCCAGGCCGCCTCACGCTGCGACGTTCTGGCCACCGTCCCCTCCCGTCATCCTGAGCAGGCACCCTCACTCTGCCAACAGAGGACATGTCACCAGCCAGTCAGGCAGGGTCACAGCCAGTGGCACTGGTCACTGGCCTGAAACTCCTGGCTGGCCGGGACTGAGAGGCCCAGGAGGGGCAAGTGGCAGGTGYGGGAAGTAGGAGCTGCAGCCCCCACAGAGACAGAAGCAGGGAATCACAAGAGCACGGGCCTTGTCGAGTGGCCACTGTGAGGACTTGGGCTCTGGGAGGCCGGTCGTCTGTGTCCAGCCTCCCGTGTTCCCCAGGGCAGACCCTGGAGGAGGCCGCGGCCTGCCCAGAGGGCGTCAGGCTGCTTCTGCCAACAGGGCGAGCTCCACGTGCGTGGGTCTGGGGAGCAGGGAAGGGAGGCAGGACCGTCCTTCTGCAGTGGGGCTGCCTCCAGGGAGGTGCCGGAGGGCAGGCGAGGCCCCCAGCATGGCCCGGCCCTGGGCCAGCACCTCGCCGGCTGCGAGGGCTGCAGGACGTGGGGTTTTCTCTGATACTGTAGCTTTTCTCAGAAAGGGTGTGAGTCACAGCGAGATGTGGGGCTAGGGCACCAGGTGGAGCCGGGCAGCCCCTCCCTGTGTGCAGGGGACAAGGAGGTCCCCACTGCCAGGATCCTGCACAGCTGGAGGCCTCAGGTGGGGGGGGGAGGCTGCGGAGGGAGGTCTCGCCTGCAGTTCCCTGCTGGTCAGCTTGTGTGGGCTCTGGGCTGAGGACAGGCCCAGTGGAGTCAGAAGGAACAGAGGAGACTGCGAGGGCCCGCGGCTGCCAGGAGCTGGGAGCAGAGCCCGAGGAGCGAGGCGCCCACTCCCAGAGAGCAGGGCGAGGGCTCTCGCTTTCAGGACCTTCTGTCTCCGGGCCTGACCATCAGCTCTTTCTAGAGAGGCTGATAAACAGACGGAGGCCCAGGCCGCCTGAAGGCCGCCTCAGGGCTCCCTTGCAGGAAGGCTGTCAGCAGTGGGGCCTTCCCGTCCGGGCCCTGCTGTGACCTGTCCCCGAGCCGCTTTCAAACATGGGCTTTTACCAGGTGGTCCCGTTGGCGTCTCACCAGGATCCTGACCAGGACCACCTGGTCTGTCCAGAACCTGCCCAGGCGGCCTCCGGGCCTAGGCCGGAAGGACTAGGATGGCCTGCCTGGTGCGCAGCACAGGGCTGTGGCCCTGGCTCCTTGGTGCCCGACTCCCTGCCCCGCCATGGCCAAGAATGCACGGGGGTCTGCACAGCTTTTGTGCTTTCTCTAGTGAGAAGACGGAGCTCGGACGTGAAGCCCCAGGGCTGTGAGCAGCTCTGCTTTAGGAAGTCACTGGACCTGGTGGAGTTAGGCCAACCACAGCATTTTCTGTCTGTGCAACTTTATCAAGTTACTGAGCCTCTCTGGGCCTCAGTTTTCTTATCTCTAAAGTAAATGTAGTAAGTAATACCCTCTTTATAGAGATGTGAAGGTAGAAAGTGAATGCAATATGACCTGCGTATGTGAGCCAGTCAGAGAACTTGCACCAATTAGTACTATTACACCTCGACTGAGCTCTTGTCAACCTAGGCACAGGAGAGGAGACCCGCCGCTGGGGTTCGCCACTCATTCTGATTGTGTTGTAAGGCCGCAGCAGCATCTCCCCCATCTGTTGGCACCCAGCTCGCCCCTTCTCTGGATTCTGGGTGACTCCATGATCCCACATAGGCCCAGGGGAAAGGAGGCTTGGAGCTTGGGATGTTCATGGAATTTTGAATTTAAATTTTTAAAAGATTTCCCCAAAGTGAAAACAATATATAATGTCAATAGTGAAAGGGGAGAATATCAGAAATAGTGTGGCCCCGCGACCCTCCTCAGGTGGCCGGAGGATGAGGGACACCCGTTTGCGTCTCACTGGGATCCTAGCTGGGACCACCTGGTCTGCCCAGAACCCGCCCAGGCGGCCTGGTGGTGCGGGGCGCCTGCGTGTCTAGTGTGTCCACCTGCAACACCAAGCCTCGGTCAGGCTGCTGGAGGACCGGCAGGAGCGTGGACGTGACGCAGCACAAGTTCACCGCCGTCCCTTTGCCTTGGCCTCTGCATGCCCAGAGAGGCCGCTGGTGCCTGTCCTGCAGGTGAGAGGCCACGTCTGCTGCCACTCACCACCTCCAGAGCGGCGCTGGGCGCTGGCCGAGGCATGGAACCCGGCTGTAGTCACTTGCTCTTCTCAGCTTTGCTTTTGTTCTCTAACAACCAGACTTGGTTCTCTTGGATGTCCACGCTTTTACCTCCAACAGTGGCCAGCACTGCACCCTGGACTTTACCTAGCAGGGTCCAGGCACCAGAACAACTGTCCTGCATTAGGACACACGTGTCGGGAGTCCCTTTTCTCCTGTGGGTCCCCTGGGTGAGCAGTATTCAGAAATGGTTCAAAGTAGCTTTCTTAATTCTGCTTGGACAAAGCTATTTCTGGTCGGCAGGAGAGTGATGGTCAATTTAATCAATTTGGAAAACGCATTCATTCCATCTGGTTAAAGAAAACGATTAAACCAGTCCTTTAACCTGTTAGTCGAAACACAGTGATCCCTGGTCCCTGCCGCATAGCCGCGTCCTCCAGCCCGAAACCCGCTCAGAGTTCCCGAGGGACGAGCCGTCCTGCTCCTGGAGCCCCAAGGACAGCTCCTGGAGCCCMGCAGCATCAGGGCTGGCTGAGAGCAGGGGATCAGACGTCCCCCGCCGTCAGGTTTACGTCAATGGTCTATCTGGGCCTGCTGGATTGGCGTCCTGTRACCCTCTCCTCTGGACAACTTAGCATTTAACAAAGTGCTTTAAAAACAAAACTCAGCAAAAACCAGGAATGAAATTGGAAGGGGACAAGGCAGTTTGAGTGGATCATGATTTAAAGTGAGGTCGGGTTGGTTTAAGGTAAGATCCTGCCGTCATTACAACTTTCTTGGTGGATCATGGGAAACTCTGCTACTTGTTTATTTTGGATCCATAAAGAAGATGGATTCACGTGGTTAACTAACGTATCTCAGAAGTAGAGATAGAAGCTCATTTTTCTGATTTGGCTTTAATTCTAGGGAAAAGCAGAAAACAATCAGGCCTTCACCCCTGGACTAAAGAAATAATTAACAAATTAAAGGTGCCAAGGGGAAACAGAGACCTTGTAGATCGTAGCCGAGGTCGCACCGTCCAATCGCCCCGTTGCCTCAAAACACGGAAATAAGACACAGGGTTAGAGCCGGTCTCACAGGAGAGCCCGTGTGATCGGCGTTGAAATACCTGAGATATTTAATAAAAATATGAGGWCACGGAAGGACGTGAGCGCTGTTTCGATCCATAACCAGCCAGCCTGGGGCTCTCCTTTCCTTCTCTGCGCCCCACGCCAGCGTCTTCATGCTGCTGGTCTGGGCTCCCCTCATGGCATGTCGGATGCTGCTTTCCTGCACACTGGTGTGAGCTGTTCTCGCGCTCGGCCTGCCTTCTTGCTCTGAATGCTCTGGGCACTTCCGTGCACCAGCATCACCTTTTCTTGGCTGTTGGACATTTGCTTGTTGGACAGTGAAGCCGTTTCTGAGGTTTGTCATGGTAGCTGATCCTGCAGGAAAATCTTTACAGATGTAGCTTTTGTTAATTACTTGGGCAAATCTAGGATTGACAATTAAAAGAACGGGTTGAAATAAAAAAGCATTTCACAGGACCCTCGACTTCTGTTGACAACAATCCGATTGAGCAGAGGGTGATCTCTGGTTCTCGGGGACCATCTGCAGATGTTTGTGTCTGTCTGAAGGAGGCTGGGAAGGCAGGAGGACAGGGACGCAGGCCAGGGCCTCTCACAGCCCTCCTCGGGGGCCAGCAGCCGGCCCAGAGCCCTGCTCCTCCTCTGTGAGATGCGGAGGTGGTGCCTGTCCCCCACAGGGAGTGTGGAGGAGATGCTGTCCAGAAGGGCCTGTGCGCAGGGTGCGTGGAAACCCACGGCCACATCTTGCGTGCCTCAGTTTCCCCACCTTYGCAGACACGGCCTCGTTTTCCTGAAGCAGCAGAGCAGAACCACTGGCCTAACTGGCTTGCGTTTCCTTCACTGTAAACCAGTAAATTTCCCCTTGTGCCCTAGTGTCCTCATCAGTAAGAGGAGAGGAGGGGGCTGAACATCCCTTTGAGCTATAGCCTCATCTGTGGTCTTGAAGTTGCAGTTTCTGAGAACACTGAGTCCCGGAGCTCTCCACCGGACCCCGCCCCACCTGGGTAGGCTGTGGGGGGTGGAATGTAAGCTGCCTTCTCCGGCTGCTCTGGTTGTCTTATAAACGACTCCCTGACTGGGGAGAGCCAAGGGCGGGGTTTGGAGCTCTCTGCTGGCCCCTCAGGCTGTGCATCTGCTGCAGGTTTGAGGGGCCACTTGGGACTGCTGGAGAAGGCCCAGCTTTGCTGGAGGTGGCCGAGTTGCAGGGCTGGAGGTGTTAGGAGTGTCCGTTGGGCTGCGAGGATCATGCCACTCGGCAGCTAATTTTCAGGCATGAAGGGAAGAAAACCGGGAGAAAGCAGGGCAGGCGGGGTGCTGGCCCCTCTGGCCGCCTGTCATTTGCAGAGTCCAGTAAAGATCTTCGGGGGACAAGTGGCAGCAAAGGCAGTAGAAGGGTCTTTTCGTGAGGCTTGGTGACATGCCCAGGATAGATGGGCTCCAGACACGCTTCCCGGGCCTCTGGGCCTACCCGGGACC